CCCCTCACCATTCTTCCTAGGCTCAGCTTCATTCCTGCACTCCTGACCCTTCTACCTCCTCCCTCCACATCAGAGGCATAAGGGATGGGGAATGTCAGGCTATGGGTCAGTCCTGCCACTCCTTCCTCCTCACACTGCTCCCCTGTCCAGTGTGGGGTCCCTCCCATGAGATGCAGTCCTCCATGAACTCCTCTAGCGTGGGTCCTTCCCATCAGCTACAGTTCTTCAAGAACTGCTTCAGAATAGGTCCCTTCCATGAGGCAAGTCTTTCAGGAACAGATTGCTCTAGTGTGGGTCCCCCACGGGTTGTACCTCCTACCAGGAGCCTGCTCCTGCATGGGCTCTCCACAGGCTGCAGCTTCCTATAGGGCATGCCCACTTGCTCTGGCGTGGGGTCATCCATGGGCTGTGGTATGGATATCTGTTCCACCATGGTCCTCCATGGGCTGCAGGGGAAACTCTACTTCAGCACTTCAAGCACGTCCTCCCCTCATTCTTTGGCTGTGGTGTCTCAAGGGCTCTTTCACTATCATTTTTTTTCCTCACTCCTCCCTATCACATACTGCTGCTCAGCGTTTTTACTGTATCTTAAATCTGTTTTCAAAGAGGTGCCACCAGCACCACTGATGGGCTCGAATTTGGCCAGTGGTGGCTTCCTTTTGGAGCCAGTTGGAAACAGTTGTGTCTAGCAGGAGGCAGTTCCGGATCTGCTCTCACAGACACCACCCCTTCAGCACCTCTGCTACCAAAACCTTGCTCTGTAAAACTAATACAGACAATTTTTCAAATTATTTGCATAACAAATTGAGTGTGCCCTACTGCTAAAAAATCAAACCTAAAATACTGATTTAAAAACTGTCTCACAAGATAATGTTAAACTAAAATGGTTTCATCTTAAAAATACACATCCATCATTCCATCTTTAAAATCTATGGATTTTTTTTCCTAAGAATATTATAACCTTATCATATTAAAGATGGAAATTAAACTTTTAAAAAAATAGCCTATGCATCCACAAACTCCGTATTTTACTCTTAGATTCTGTACAAGTCCATTACCAAATATATTCAATGAATCATATCTTTAATAACCAGCTATTTACAATAATAATTAGACATAATACAAAAGAACAGTTATTATTCCTCAAAATTAATTTATAAGTTTGTTTCAAGGTCACATTCACAGATGATATAGAAAATATCTTTCTGTGAAGAGCATGGTTTGGGTATTGATCTATACCATCAACAAGGGTTTTTTCTTCATTTTATCCCTTCCTAGATGAACCAGTCAGATCTATTTCATATTTGTTGCCATGCTATTTGTCAAATAATACAGCTGTTAATTTAAACAGTATTGTCCATTCCAAGAAGTACAATCAATAAAACTGCATAGTAACAGTGTCTGATCTCAATTGTTTCATCAATTCTGCTCATCTTGTACAGCAGAAGTTAACCTTTCAAAAACTGCATATGGCAACATTTTAAACCAACATACTGCCAGCTAAGAATAATATTAAGGACTCACATTTTATGCAAAACATAATAAATATTAACTTTCATGTTCAGAACTCCAATTTGCATGATATATTACCATAAGTGGCAAGAGATTGCACAAGTTCTATATTCTGTGGAGGTATATGTATTAAAGAGCGAGATAATTGTAAACATGAAATCATTTAGACAAGGATATAAGGACTTCACGTCTGTATTTTGATACCATTTTTAATCTTACTAAAACTGTTATAAAAAATGTTGCCATTGTTTATCACATTTAAAAGTATAAATCAGCCATATATCAATTAATAACACTGTCTACTGTTCTAAACAACTTCAATGGATCTCCCAAATCATCTTACAAACACAGGTTTTGGAGAAGCTAGTGTGTTAGGTAACTGTGTTTTTCTCTGGAATTCATTCCATAACACATTACCCATATCCCTTGTGTCTACTTGCTCAGCACCAATCATTCAGATGAAGATGCACAAAGATGTTTAGACAGCTGTAGTTTCAACCTTGCATATACTCCCCTTTGCTAACCTAAACATCACCCATATTTTACAGAAATCATCCTTCTGCATTCTTCTAACCCTGCATATAACATGTTATTTTATTTGAACTCAAGCTACCATCCCAGAAAAAAGGCTCCTGAATCAGAAGTCAAAGCCATTCTTTTCACATTATTGATGGTATTAGAGCAAATTAGATAGGGACAGTCTCAGAAATCAGAAAGATCCAGCAGTGACATTTGGATGTCTCTGCATAGGAATAGACAGGTTCCACCTAAGATATAAATTGAGTTAGGCTGGAATCCTTGAAAAAAACACTCTTCCCTTCCTTAATTCTTGTTTTTCATTTAATGACAGAAGCAAGGTTAAAAAATATGGTAACTAACTCTACAAACCCCTGTCTTCACATATAACTGGCCATGACTGATTTGGAGATGAACTCTTTGTAGTCATTTTTCTCAGATGACTGTTTCTATCTTACTAACTTTTTGCTGCTGTGAATACAGAGTTCACTGAGGCATTAAGGATTTACCACATTCCTTCTCTCCTCTAATACTGTTGACCTTTTATTTTACTCATGTTGTCAATGTGGTTTTATTGCCACAGAAGAATGTTTATGGTGGTACTGTTTGCTCTGTCTTCAGAGACCGTGAGCCCTGGAGACAGTGAGCAAGTATGATTAGGACACTATGGAAGGCCCTGGAAAGGAGTCCTGGCTGGAAACACTGCTGAAGACTACAGGATGGCTCAACCTTGGTGGTGATGTCCCACAGAGCATGGTTCCCAGCCCAAACTGGAGAAAGTTCTCCTGGCACAGCAGATGACAATTTACAGCTTTGGATGGAAAATGCTCCCATCAAGGTCATGCTATCTTACCCCGAGGCAATATCTTTACCTGTAGATGCTATGCTCTGTCACCAAGCTGAAGGAAGGGGCCAACAGGAACCTTGTGAAATTCAGCAGTGACCAAGTCCTGCATGTGAGAAGGAAGAGCCTCTTACAGCAATAGAGGGGACGTGTTTTTTCCAAAGTAGCTGTTGGTTGGAGACTGTCTGGGCATTGGTCTGCTGGTGGTCTGTGATTGCTTTTGCATCACTTCTTTTTCTTTTTTTTTTATTTTTTTTTCCCCCCTTCACTTATTAAGCTGTCTTTTTCTCAACCCATGAGTTCTTTCTCAATTATTTTGCCCTTCCAATTCTCTCCTCCATCCCACTGTTGGAGAGTGAATGAGGACTGGGTGGAAGGTTACCTGCCAGTTGGGGTCAACCCATCACAGACAGGCTGCCCAGAGAGATTGTGCAGCCCTGGAGGTTTTGAGACACCACTGGGCAAAGCCAGACCAGTCTGACCTGAGAGCTGACCTTGCTTTGAGCAGGAAGTTGGACTGAAGAGCTCCTGAGGTCCGTTCCAGCCTGACTTGTTCTGTGAATCCATGATTTGCAGTTCTTGTGAATCAGAGACAGAAACAGCTGCAGTTAAATCAGTCCCCACCCTAGTCTTTGGATGATAAGTGTTACCAATCCACCAGATGATATATTACATAGTTTCAGCTGACTCTAAAATACAATTTTTAATTTTCTCCTTTAAATTCAGAATCAATAGTTTTGAAAACAATCTTATCCTAAAATCTTCAGCTATGAAAAGGCAAACACTGCAGGGACATCTACTTTTATGATAAGGAAAGAGAGGTGACTGGTCTCTGTCTCTGCCTTTTGACTTTGATAAAAAGTTGTGGAATTGTGTGAGTTAGAGGTGTGCTACCTCTGATCAGCTAGCGCTGATCACAGATGTCTAATATTCTATGTAAGTAACATTTTAAAAAAACAAACAAAAACCCCCAACACATCCATATAACTAAAAGATATTTGAAATACAATAACATGTCTTAGAAAATAAGCATCTCTCTGGCCACACCTCCAACATCAAATTACTTGCATTACAAAGAAACCATGAAGATGCTGATCTGATATGATATGGTATGATATGATGTGATATGATAGGCTATGATAAAATAAATACCAGTAAGTAAAATCCCAAACAGGTGCTTGTTATGTAAGATATTTTATAAAGGTAAGCTATGTGTGTAAATTGCAATTTGCTGTTCCTTAGGCACCATGGAAATATAGAAAAATCATATCATACATACAAAAGCAGACCTTAGGTACAGAACCTCTCTCTCTCTTAATCTTTCCTGAGAGAAATCACTAAGTGTAACTATACAAACTTGGTCCTAGTTACTCAGACTGCCATTATTCAACAGTAAATGTACATAAATTACATTAAATTATTTCTTATTTAGGCAAATAAGAATGTTACTGTTTCACACTGCCCTACTTGTAACAAGTATGTACATTTACTGATTGGTTTGGTTTGGGGTTTGTTTTTTTTTTCCCCTTTTCTCTTACACTGCTTTCAGAGTCTCAATAAAAGTGGGAGCCTTCTGGATTACTACTTAATTATTGGCATAGAAAACCATAAAATAAAGGAAATACCCACAGCTAAGAGTCTCTGAATAATTTATCACATCATTTTTAGCAGTACAATAAAGTTTAAAAGCTAAGAGATCTTTAGAGGAATAAAAAATAAGAAATAAGCCTCTTCTTTCAGTTCTCTCTTCCCTAAGAAGAGATTCAATATTCAGCAAAACAGAGAAATTACTTGTCCCACAGCTTTTTTTGCTCTGACCTTCATCAGGACTCCATAGCTACTAAAGCTTACTTCATCTCTTATGTTCCTCCCAGTCTTCACTTTTGCTCCTTGTCTTGTCAGACTCGTCATTTCCCCCTGCTCGTTTTAAAAATGAAAACATATTTATTTCTGTTTCTGTATCCTACAGAAATTCAAAGTCACTGAATTTTAATTGTCCAGGTCTGAGATGCAGGCAGAGCTATTCTGTCTTGCACAACCCTTGGTTTAGGGACACATTTTGACATTATGAAATACTAATTCTTTTGGGGAATGTTCCCCAAGTAATCAAACTAAGCAATGCACATGCCTTATTTTTAACCAGCCTCTTACTTTGTGCATTTTGATGATCACAACTTGATTTAGTTAGTGTTGCTTTATTTTTCATCTCCAGAAGTCCCTGAATTTCTTTTACCTGCAACTTCAATCTTCTGTTTTCTTCTTCCAAACTTTGCTTTTCTACTTCAAATCTCTCTCCCCATTCAGAGGTATTCTCAAACTGTAGTCTTTCCAGCTGGGAAGAGTTGAGGTGGGGGGAAGAACAACCAAAAGAGAGAAAAAGAGGAATAATATGGTTAAAAAAACCCGTGTTCCTATCTCAGAGTAGGGTGGGCATCTTAGAAATTGTCATGGTTTAACCCTGGCTGGCAACTAAGCACCACACAGCCGCTCCCTCACTCTCCCCACAAGGGGACAGGGGAGAGAATCAGAGCAGTAAAAGTGAGAAAACTCGTGGCTTGAGATAAAGACAGTTTAACAGGTAAAGCAAAAGCTGTGCATGCAAGCAAAGCAAGGAATTCATTCACTAGTTCCCATGGGTAGGCAGGTGCTCAGCCATCTCCAGGAAAGCAGGGCTCCATCACATATAGTGGTGACTTGGGAAGACCAACACCATCACTCCAAACATGCCCCCCTTCCTTCTTCTTCCCCCTGCTTATATACTGAGCATGACGTCATACGGTACGGAATAGCCCTTTTGGTCAGTTGGGGTCAGCTGTCCTGGCTGTGCCCCCTCCCAGCTTTTTGTGCACCTGGCAGAGCAGGGGAAACTGAGAAGTCCTTGGCCAGTCTGAGAACTACCCATCAGCAACTAAAAACATCAGTGTGTTATCAACATTCTTCTAGCACTAAATCCAAAACACAGCACTATGCCAGCTACTAGGAAGAAATTTAACTCTGTCCCAGCCAAAACCGGGGCAGAAATCAATCCAAGGTATAAGTTTTCCATGTTTCATAAAGTTAAGTACTTGAATTTGAAAAGAAAAACCCAAGAGGTACGTTAATTGTACTTTTACAAAAATAAAGCATAGGTAATATTTTAATATAGTAACTGGTAACCAAATCTTATTTCTTTCCCTGCTACTTATTGAACAGTATTACAAAAAAAAATAAAAGAATTTGTTCACTAGTTCCCATGGGTAGGCAGGTGCTCAGCCATCTCCAGGAAAGCAGGGCTCCATCACATATAGTGGTGACTTGGGAAGACCAACACCATCACTCCAAACATGCCCCCCTTCCTTCTTCTTCCCCCTGCTTATATACTGAGCATGACGTCATACGGTACGGAATAGCCCTTTTGGTCAGTTGGGGTCAGCTGTCCTGGCTGTGCCCCCTCCCAGCTTTTTGTGCACCTGGCAGAGCAGGGGAAACTGAGAAGTCCTTGGCCAGTCTGAGAACTACCCATCAGCAACTAAAAACATCAGTGTGTTATCAACATTCTTCTAGCACTAAATCCAAAACACAGCACTATGCCAGCTACTAGGAAGAAATTTAACTCTGTCCCAGCCAAAACCGGGGCAGAAATCAATCCAAGGTATAAGTTTTCCATGTTTCATAAAGTTAAGTACTTGAATTTGAAAAGAAAAACCCAAGAGGTACGTTAATTGTACTTTTACAAAAATAAAGCATAGGTAATATTTTAATATAGTAACTGGTAACCAAATCTTATTTCTTTCCCTGCTACTTATTGAACAGTATTACAAAAAAAAATAAAAGAATTTGTTTTAAAAAACATTGAGACTGATTTTCGTTTCACTTTTTGTTCTTCAAAAGATGAAAAATTATCATGTTTTTAGTTATAGCCTGTTTACACTTTAGAATGACTATAATGAATACCCATTAAACTGAAGAAGTTCTAAAGTATGTCTTCAGTACTAAAAACCACTATCCTAAAAACCAGAGGAAGGATTTTTAAGTTTTCACACTACTCTGTTCCTTGAGGTCACAACTAATAGTCTTAAGGGAAATATTATGTTTTATGGCCAGTGCTGTAACCTTAATTAAGGATAACCAACCTTTCCAAATTAATTTATCTAACCCACACATAGGATGAATTAAATATATCAACAAAAAGCCATGTTACTAAGTCATATAAAGTAATTATCTATTTTATTTGCTCTTCAGAGACAACTAGACAGAGGTTTTGTCAAGATTGTATGAAATGTTCCTCACATTTCAAAAGAAAAACTAGTAAAATTAATTCATTTTTATAGCAAAAACCAGGAACTTATCAGATAATAACAGATATTTATCAGATTACTATTGACAAGTACTTACTATTAACAACTTTTTGTTAACTGGTACTTACAAGGAGATTAAAAGAGATTAAGATAGATTAAAAACTGTGAAAATTAAATACCCCAGTTCTTTTAACAGAGATTAAAAAAAAAAAAAGATAAATGCTAATACATAAAAGTAAAAATTTTAAGAACTTTACAATTTTCAGTTCTGTGAAAAAGTAAAATCGATTATTTGATAAAAGTGGAGACTGAAAACAGTGCAAAGCACTTCATTGAAGAAACAGGATGTCTGTGCCAACAAGGTTTTAGAAAGAGCCAGAGATGTACTTTTTCAGATATTGGTTATTTTTATTTTAAAATCAATGTCTGGCAAATAATGGAAAGTTACTGAACATGAAGCAAAGAACTGAACTGAATGGAAAGTTACCAAACATTACAGCATCAGGGAAACATAATTCAGACCCTGTTAATTGTAACAATGTGATTATCTAACTAAATCAAATAGCGAACTTGTCTGTTCCCCCCTTATTTCTGAGCAAATAGAAACAGGTAGAAACTCTATAAAGTAAAAAAGGCTCATTCCGATTTTCAGAAGAAAGAAATGCATTTTGAGTCTTTCTATTTTTGATGGAAAAAAACAAGTGTCATTGTTTACTAACAATGATAACATTTTTCCAGATATTCTACATACAATAAACTAGAGGATTCCCCAGAAGACTGAGTAAAGCAGGGGAAAGAAAAAAGCTCCACAAGCTATTTCCAGTAGTTATTTGGTATAAGCATAAGGTATGGTTTGGGAGAACTCTAATGAACAACAAACCAACCCTGATTACTAACACTCTGAAAATTAGCATTTCAGAAAATATGAGTTCTAGTACTTTGCTGGACAATGATTTATAGTATAATCAATGATATCAAAATTGTCTACTCATGGCTTTGTACAAGTTAGTATTTCTTCCTGACTTTATTATGGAGTTCTTTATGGATATGGTATATTAAATATTTAAATTTATCATTATTAGAGCTTGTAGACAACTTCATTGCAATTAATTGAAATTTTACAGACACAGAGATAATTAAGTTTATCTTTGACATCAGATCTTGGTTTGGTAGTCATCTTGTGCTTAATTACCCGACCAAAATTCAACCTTGGGTGGTTTTGTGATTTCTCTCTACTTGAAGTCTGCCCAAATTGAAATGACTATTGTAATATTTTCTGAAATACTAATTTCCAAATTGTTAGTAATCAGGGCTGGTTTGTTGTTCATTACATTTCTCCCAAACTGTACCTTATGCTTATTCCAAATAATATTTTTCATATAATGTTCTCATAGGAAATATTTGCTCTCTTTTTCTTCTTTACTGCAAATAAGGAAGAGGTGCCAGATCCCAGCTTTCAGATTTCAAGTCAGAATGCCAATTTCGCAAAGTCATCATGTGGAATTTTGCCATTCCCAGCTAAAAAGAGCAACATTCTCTTGAGAACACAGAATTTGTCTCCCACACCTGTGCAACGCATTCCTAATCCCACTCACACCCCAAACCCCTGTCGGGGCCCTTCCAGCTCCAGGAGTTCAGCTGGCAGCATTCAAGGCCAGCTAGCTGATACGGCCTGTTGTAAAGAGCTGGAAGACTCAGCAGAGGGAAATCTCTCTGCCTCAGGGCTGCTTTTAATCTGAATATTCCATACGTCATGCTTGACAGAGCTAAGTTGTAAATATTGACATGTTTGCATTTAAAACAGACAGGAGAGGTTCATACAGATGTAATACAGATTGCAGAAAACAGCTTTGATTATGAAGAACACAGGTGTTCCTGAACTGACTAGTCTCATCTTTCTATATGAACTTTTCAAGATATTTTATCTTGAATCAAATAAGCTTAATTATGTCTGAAATTACATATTTAACTCATTTAGGAGAAAACTGAAATATTGCTATTAAAAAGGCTGTGAAGGAGAATTTATTTTTCTTTTAAGTATGAAAATAGCTGAAAACTACTGACCAAGTATTTGTTTGTAACATCTTTGCTAATTAATCTTCCTAAAGTAAAGAAAGATGCATTATTTTCATTGAGACTTAAAGATTTGGAATGTTGTTTGTTTTTCAATTGAAAAAACTCACCAACCTTATTTTCCAGTTATGAGCTCCCTGCCTTTAGAGAAAGTAACTTTCTCACTTTAAAAAAAAAAAAAAGAAAAAAAAATGAAAAAATAGAGTCCTGCCTTTAAGAAAGTAACTTTCTCACTTTAAAAAAAAAAAAAAGAAAAAAAAATGAAAAAATAGAGTAGTTGCATATGCTGATGGGCTCTGTAGACTGTTTCATAACTGTTGCAGCTAGAGCTGCTCTGCGAGGGACCTATTCCCCCTTATTGAACTTGAATGCACCCCTGGATTCTTTTGATCTACTCAATGTTAACCAGTTTCAAAAGACTGAAAATCACCTCATCCACTGTGCAAGTAAGTTGTGCAGATCTGCTTTACTTTCCAGTACACAGGCTGAGAAAACAAATGTTGTGAGCCCTAATACACCAGGGTGAGGAAAGCAGCTAGAGGAACTTTTCTCAGTAAGGAAGTTGAGCCAGATGTTGTTGAAAATGCAACACAAGGCAAACATTCAAAAAGCATGAGCATTTCAAAATGACCAAATGAAATTGCTGTGGGGATATATGTGTATATAAAGTACATACCTGTATGTATATGTGTATACACATAGACATATTCCTCTGTTTCTTTAAAGTAAACCTGTCATTTAAAAATTATTTTCCCCTTCTTAATTACATGAAAAATAATACAACCTTTAAATTAATCTATTGTTGCCTTAAAGTCTACTGTCTCCCTTCATTTTTCACACAAAAACATTTCACAGGAACAGTAATATTTAATTTTCATTTTGAAATTCATGACTGAAACTTCAATTAAAAATGCAAATTGACTAAATAGCAGTGATACCTACCTCACATCTACACTGAAAAATTTCAGTTGTTTTTTTTTTT